TGTGCGAGTCATAATTTAGAATCTAATTACATTTTTCAAATTATAGGCGTTATAAATTTTAAAATCAAAATTATTTACCGCAATACATTTTTATACACGTAAGCAAAATTATAACTCACGAGATCACGACATGTATCTAATATTGATCAGATGATGAATGAATTAAAACTTAAAATTAATTAAAAAAATAAGATATTAAAAAAAAGTAGTTGTCAAGTTACTAATCAAATAATAAAAAGTAAATTTCTAATACTATCCATACTAATTAAGAAAAAAAATTTAAGAAAAAATATAGACCTTACGAGATCTTAATACTTTTAAATTTAAGGATATACATAAATATGCAAAAAATAAAAAATAAAAATAATCTATAAAAAAATACTTTTTTTTTCTTGAAATGTAATTTTACTTATCAACAAAAAAAGAAAATGTCTACAAAGATTTTGGTCCAAAGTGGCATGTTCTTACTCCTTTCGCTGACAAAAGTTTTGAGAGCTATAGAATAACACAAAGAAAATTAAAATTTTTGACCTATGACGCCATTGGTACACTCTAAGTATATATATTGACAATTATGCTTCCTCTGTTTCAAAATATAAAATGTTTTGGCTAAAAGCGCGGAGATTGAAAAATTACTTTTTCTTCGAAAAGTATCATTTAATATATAAAATAAAAATATTTTCACCAATTATTAATAAGACTGCATAATACTATTGGTCGCACAATATTCAGCAAAGTAAAAAGTACATAGGATTGTCAAAACATCTTATATTTTGAAACAAAAAAAAAAAAACCTCAAAAACATCTCATATTATGAAACGGAGGGAGTATAAGTTAAAAAATAGTAATATTATATTTACTATGAAGTTAATACTGTATAAAGTTTGGCGAGTATAAACCTTTATGAGAAATAAAAAAATGACATTAATATAATATAATTATCAATCATGTACTTATGTAACGGTTCATAACATTATTTGTAGTTTTTATGAGGCAACTAAAATAAGTTTACTTTTTCTGATTTAACTATATAGTATTTGAATTGTTTTTATTTCTATCACAAAATTCATAATGGGTTAAAATATATATTTTTGTGTTATTGAGAATATGGTTTAAATTCCGATTATATATATTTTTGAGAAATTTCAAAAAATGCCACTTTTCAAGTGCCACTTTACAAAAATATCACACTTTTGAAATTTTTACAAAAATGCCACTTTTTCAAATTATTTTTTCTTTATATTATTTATGTTTGGGTTGATTATGTTCTATTAGGGTTTAGGGGGATTTAGGAGTCAAAACATTT